CCAGAATATTGAGTCATTGAAACTGAAACAGTGCATCCCGAATGGAGGCAGCAAACAAGGTACCAGGCCAGCTGTGATTTACAACATGATAGCAATATTTTTGGGACTACCAAGAAATGTATTGGTGAATTATATTTATCATGCATTGAACTGCATCCATCTAATCTGCCAAAAATGCCTTAGTGTACGTCATGGAACATTGAGTCAAATATAACCTATTTTTAAAACCTCTTATAAAGTTGTTTTTGTAGCATAAACTGCGATTTTTATATTTTTGACTTTAAACTTTTGGACTATTTCCACTTTAAACTTTATGTCACCGGTTACTTTGTGTGCTAAATGTGAAAAGTTTTTTGCAACGAGAAGTAATAGTTGTAAATTTCGATTGGGAAATGCTTAATTGTTGGGTTTTTGTATTCTTATGATTGGGACCTACTGGCTTATTATGAGTGAATGGACTGCTTATCCTTTAACATCATGCTGTGTGTGACTGCTGTCTTTCCATCGTCCCTATGCAGTGGTGTAGTGGTGCCTGGACAGTGGCGACCCATCATTCAGGGCAGGTGGGGCTATTTTGAGCCCCACATTTTTAGCTAAAAATAAATATGTTTTACATGTTATTTTGGCATTAATACGTGTCACACTTCAGTTTGCAAACAATGTAAAAAATAATAATAATAATAAATAAATAAATTGAGTTAATACAAACATGGTCTCCTTTTTGCTTTCTAGAGTAAGGCAGCTCCAAAATGCGGGTGTTTCAGCCTAGCTCAGTGCTTTCTGTGGTGGTGGGGCAGCCAGCAGAAAGTAGGGAGCGTAGGTCATGGTAATGTTCTCTAGTTGTGCTGTGATTGGCTCAGTGTTCTGTCACTCATGGGGACACTACCTCACTGCCAAGTCTAAGGGTAGAGCTCGAAAATTCAAGCCCCTTGGGTGCTGCCATAGAGTTACATTAGAAGTGCCCTTCCAAGAAGGCTCAAGGTCATTGGCCACAGATAAAATGATGTCAAATCACGTTATATCTACAGTAGCTTTGATTGGACTGATCATGTCAACATCATACTTTCAAAATCTTAGCTAGCAGTCATCATCATGAATCAAGTCGACAATCTACTGGCAAATCCTTTTTAATCCTTGTCATATGAAGAGAAACAATGAAGAGAAAATATAGATAAAACGTATCGGTGCTCATCGGCCATTGGACAATAACATTACACAAGTTTGAAATCGCAAATTCAACAATGGTTTGGAAGGAATCAGTGTCTAACTGCAAAGCAATCACTAGCCTGCTATTCAGTGGAGTGGCTGTGTGGTCCCAAATCTGGGATTAAGGGTCTCTTTTCCAAGCTTAAAATGATAAACATTCAACATTGGTCATGCTGTCAATGAAGCATGATTTGTGCCCGCGCTCAAAACAACTGTTAACTCGGAACTGCGAAATCTGACTTCAGTGAGTTCAAGACAACTGGGAACTCGGGGAAAAAACGAGCTCCGACTGGAAAAATATGTTTTTAACGGTCATCCAACACGGAATTGTAAATCTTGAATTTGGTCCTCTTTCTAGAGCTACGACCTGAAGATCACTGACGTCATCATGATTCGACCTTGTTTTATTTCCGAGTTCCCAGTTGTCTTGAAAGCACCATAAATCCAGAGAATGCCATCCTTTGATGACAAAGTTTGATGACAAAATTTGCCCACGAAGGACCGCCGCGCCACATTCCTGTTCAAGTGAGCACAGCACAACAGGTGAGTACAAAAATGTATTGTATGCTGCTGCATAAGTGATGTAATATGCCAGGGAGATATGTATACTGTAGCTAAGAAAGTAATGCTAAGTGTATGTTGTGTAGTAAGTTGTTAGTAGCCCATGTGCCTCACCCTAATAATTTGGTCTATTTTCCCCTCTTAATTTCACCTACTGTTCTGACTTGGTGGTGCACATGTAGCCTATAACCTGTTTTAGAGAAATGTAATCATCTAATATTGTAAGAGCTTTCATTGTCTGCTTATATGCCCCCTTTATTTTCCTACGGTTCTGACTTGGTGTACAGGGAGAACACTGTAAGAACGGCCCATGTTCTGAATTCTGTCGCTGTACATTTCAAAAGTGCTGAACAAATAGTTACATTGACTACGTCCGTCCTTGCTCGCTCGTTAATGTCTTAAACGGAATTACGGATTGCCTATTATCCGCTCGTTGTCCCCTTATGCCATAGTTTGTACATCTCAATTGTCAGTAGAAACCACATTTGTTTAAGCAAGTCAGCCATATCAGCTATGTTTTTTTTAAAGGCAGTAAATGAGGCTGAATGAACTGTTTCGCTGCCAGACAAGGCTCCGCTGATAGCCAGGTGTAAAAGTGGTAAGGTGTTGGGACTGCTGTTGGGATTCTGCTGTTGGGACAGCTTTATAGTGCAATTAATGTATTGTTTAGTGTTGTGTTGTGTAGTGTAGTGGCTTTGCTGGCATGCATCCCACATATATATATATTTTTGCCCCACCAAGATTGAAATGCTAAAATCGCCACTGTGCATGGAGAAGTGGGTATACTCTAATCTTGCACAAAATTAAAATCTAAACAAACCGCCCAGCGAAGGAAAGGCACCCTGTGTGAAAAATCCTATCTTTCCTATGTTTTTTTAGGAGTTTTCATATAGATTTATCAGATTTTCACTCTCAAAATCACTTTTTATTTAATAGAAAAAATACAAAAATGTGATGGTCTTAATCCACAACAATGCTTAAACCACATTACATTTTACATTTTAGTCATTTAGCAGACGCTCTTATCCAGAGCGATTTACAGTTAGTGAGTACATTCATTTTCATAGACATCAATCTGATTGGGTGGGCCTGTCAAGGCCTGGCTCCCCAGTAGGTGGGCTTGTGTCCACCCCGGCCAATCCATGTCAGTGCATGATGACAACTGTGCATCACAAATAGCCTACTAACCAACACTTCGAACTAAAGTTTTTCAATACCTGGTTTGCATACCCGTTGTTGCCTTAGTTAGCATTTACTGGTTGAAGCGTCCTTCCTACCCTAACCGCTACCGATGTCATTCTTCTGAGATGCTCCATGCCAAAACCAGTTGAGAGCTGCACACTCTTGCTGCATGCAGATGATTTCCCGCTGAAACTAGGCTATGTGCGGCGCGCATGTGAATATATTTCACGTGCTTTGCGATTGTGTAGGCTACTTTGTGCATGATTTCTCTATTGTACTACATAATTGATAAGTGTTATACCTCCACTACACTACTTTGATATGCACTAACAGGGATTAAGAAGTGAGTATATGCAATGCCCACTGAAAAAAAATATACCTGCGTACAGTGCATTCGGAAAGTATTCAGACCCGTTGACTTTTTCCACATTTTGTTACGTTACAGCCTTATTATGAAATGCATTAAATTGTTTTTTTCCCACCTCATCACCTGTTTTCGCTTTGCCATTATGGGGTAGTGTGTGTAGATTGATGAGGAACATTTTTTTATTTAATCAAGTTTAGAATAAGGCTGTAACATAACAAAATGTGGAAAAAGGGAAGGGGTCCCTCCACTAGACCACTGGCCCTTTGAGTTTTACAAAAAGTGCACTCTTCTACATCAGTGCGCTGGTATTACGGTTGCTGTCCTTTCAGAATCACGAACCTGTCACACACTGAAGGCCTATAGGTTCGCCACTGCGCGACCATGTCTATAATAGATATAAAGACTGTTAAGAAATTATTGTTTCAAGAAAGCAGTGTATATATTTGGCCTGGCGAAGCAGTTTTATGCGCTGACTGAATGGTCATCCCTACTGCCTCTGATCTGGCGAAACACAAATGCTTAGTTTGTAAATTACGTCTGAGTGTTGGAGTGTGCCCCTGGCTATAAAAGGAAAAAAAAGACAATGGTGCCATTTAGTTTGCTTTATATAAGCAATTTGAAATTATGTATACTTTTACCTTTGATACGTAACTAGGCTCTGTCGTAGCTGGCCGTGACCGGGAGACCCATGGGGCGGCGCACAATTGGCCCAGCGTCGTCCAGGGTAGGGGAGGGAATGGCCGGCAGGGATGTAGCTCAGTTGGTAGAGCATGGCGTTTCCAACGCCAGGGTTGTGGGTTCGATTCCCACCGGGGGCCAGTTTGAAAAAAATAAATAAAAATAAAATAATGTATGCACTCACTAACTGTAAGTCGCGCTGGATAAGAGCGTCTGCTAAATGACGTAAATGTAACTATATTTTTTCATTACATTTACTTTTGATACTGAAGTATATTTCAAACCAAATACTTTTAGACTTTTACTCAAGTAGTATTTTACCATTTAACTTTCACTTTTTCTTGAGTCATTTTCTATTAAGGGACTGTATCTTTACTTTAATTCAAGTATGACAATTGTGTACTTTTTCCACCACTGTGTACTAGGCCTGTATTACTCCTGTATGCGCAGAGAAAAATATTCACCAGAAGAACAGGGTGATAACTTCCTCAGCTTCTTCATCTTCCTCTTTCCCTCTTTTGTTAATTTTATCTGCGATCGCTTACCTTGCCATATGAATTTTGAAACTGCACTATGAATTTTATCCCAATAGCCAGAAGGGGGAGACATGGGAAGCATTGAGTTACAGAAATTCAGCCATGGCAGTATATTCATCTTGACAATAGATGTTCTGCCATTCAAAGCAAACAGATATAATATTTGAATAAAACAATAATTTCAAACCCTGCTTACAATTTGTAGGCTATATGATCATGTGTCTCTCTATTAGGTCTATATGTGGGAATACTTGGGAACCGATTTCCAAAATTAAAATCACTTGGAGCTGATTTCCTGGTGTTTTTGCAGTCTTTTATGTCCAACAATGAACATTTGGGGGGCTAAATAAACCGCCCCCCATTGGCTGCCATTTGGGGAACCCTGACCTACACCAAAACCGTTGAGACTTTGTACCTTTCTTTCTTCTGAGATGCTATCACACTGTAATAGTCAAATTAAGCCACTGAATATGAGCTATTGTTTATTTTTCTACTTGACGTTGCTGTTGTCTGGCAGCAGCTGCTGCAGAGTGAACGGGGGCACAGCGGCACTGTGCGTCCTGGGCTGTTCAGCTCAGCAGCTCCCCGTTAACTCCACCCCCCGACAGAAGTTTGCAGCCTCGGCTAAACTTCCAGTTCCCCTCTACGGACGACTGCTCTTTTCCAGCCTACCATCCCACGTAGAGGCCCCATTTTCCAGAATGGAGTGCCGTTTGGTAGTAGCGATTTTAGGAGTTTGTCTCATCCCTTATGGCCTTTCGGATGTGCAGCTCAGTAGTAATGTTATTCTCGAGCCGTATGATCTGCTGTTCGACACAGCGGTGGAAGCCTACTACAAGGGTGACTGGATGACCGTCATCCTGAACATGGAGAGGGCGCTTCGGAACAAGGCTGCGATCCGCAGGGTGAAGGCGCATTGTCGGATAACTTGTGCAAACCAGAGCGCTTTCGGAGAGCCTTTATCCAGCATGGTTTTGCCAATACCAGGCGCTGGCTCTGTGGAGGATCTTGGTTTTTTTCAGAAAATTATGAAAAGGGCTGATTGTGTAAATACCTGCGAAAGTGATAAAATTGGACCACCAACTATCCATAAAATTACTGAAGATGTGGACCTTGAGTTTAAGAAGAGAACCCCCTACAATTACCTGCAAGTCGCATACTTCAAGGTATGAAAAGAGTCGACCAAATGGGCCCTATGCATAACAAATGTTCAGATCTTTCATAGTGAAAAGAGTTGACCATATAGGTTCTATGCATAATAAATGTTTAGATCTTGCATAGGCTTGCAATAAACACAGACAGTAGCCTATCCAATGTTGTGGATAAGATGCGCCTGCATCATCTTATTGCACTTTTTGAAGTGTCTACCATGCACATTTATCACACTTGCATGTGAAGATAAGGGTAATGTCACTCTTTATGTTGTCAAATTTAATTCAAACTAACACCAAGAAGCAAGTCGTTTACTATAAGTGCTCTGTTTTCCCCAACCCCCCAAGCCAAGCCGGCCGTGCCACGTCTCTAGGTGGAGTCTAGCTGTGTAGACAATTTACGTCCTGACGCTGGATTCTTCTCGATTTTGGGGCTTGTCATCAACATGCGCTGCAGATCTCATTCATGCTGCTGTGCCATTCAAGAATTTACTTAACTTTTGACAGAATAGTCATGTATATATTTATTTGTTAAGTCTGTTTAGAAACTGGTTATTACATTGTAATAAGAGTAGTTAGACCTATAAATGAAGTAAATACATGTAGCCTATAGGCTCTTCCTGAAAGTCAAAGGTCATATTCATAGCCTATTTACTAATGTCAATAGATATGAAAAAAATATGTAGGCCTAATGGCTTAAATAATGGCTCCAATGCAGCCGTTTTTAACTCAATATTAAATAATTTCTGGGTAACAATTAAGTACCTTACTGTGATTGTTTTCCATTAAAATTGTAGAAAAAGAAACAAAAATTGCTTCTTAGCAAAGAGCAATTTCTCAAGCAATAATTATGACTGTCTGGGTGTGGTCTGTGTGGGGTCTAGCTGTTATAGAAGGTTCTTCTGTACACCACATACTGATTTCATCAGGCATGGATGTGCGCACATCAATGATGCAATCATTAACGTAATTATTACTTCTAAACAAAAACACTTTTTGGGTTCTTATAGGCTTACAATGTTGGTGTTATTGCTTGAACAGTCGCAAAGATTATATTTGTTTGTCATCTTTGTAAAATACCTATTTTGGACGCAGCAATTGTTAGCTAGAATGCTAAAGTCATTGGCTGTAGGAAGAGCTAGCCAAAGAGGCATTTTACTGGTTGAAGACAAAGTTGATTATGTTTTTATGTATAATGCAGTTGATTTGTGATGATGACACAAACATTATGTTAAGCAGGACATTCATACAAGCCTTAAATTACAATTATAATCCAAAAGTAGTGTGAAATGCACTCATTAGCAACATGTAAATAGAGGCTTTTTTTGCTGGCACTCTATGGGAACTCCCAGTATTATCTATTTTTTTGACTGCACTGGGCCTTTAAGTTAAATCAAAAACTACAAAAGAGACATATGGCCCCTGATTGTAGACTACTTACTATAGTATATAGGATATTGACAAGTTGCCTGAAACAGCATGTTGGTGATTGCAGCTCACACATTTCTTACACCATTCCAGGGTGTCTTGCCTCCTGCCAGATGGTAAAGGACTTCTGCAACTTGCAGCATTTAGGGAAGCCTTTGGAGTCATGTGTATACAAGGGTTATTCAACAGATACAGTATTCTGTATTATTTGTTGACTAAATAGCTCTCTTCCCTGTGTAGATCAATAAGCTGAATAAGGCTGTGGCGGCGGCCAACACGTTTTTCCTGGCCAACCCAGACCACATGGAGATGAGGCAGAACCTGGAATACTACAGGATGATGTCCGGAGTACAGGAGGAGGACTTTAAAGACCTGGAGACCTGGCCGCACATGGTGAGACTGACACCACTAATCCCTAGTTATCACAGCTATGCACCAGTTATCCTAGTGACAATGTATCAGTTATCCCAGTAACAATGGACCAGTTATATACCAGTTAGAACTGCACATAGTCAAACTGAAACCACTTACCCATTTGCCTACTTGGAACTGCCAAGCGTATGGGACAGGGGAAGGGGCAAGGGACCTTATTGGCACCAGGTTGGGGTAGGGTCCAGGGGTTGAATTGGAATGTGGCCGGGCTGCTGACTCCCTGCTTTGCTCTTTATTATATCTCCCAGGCAGAGTTCCTTGCAGGGAAGCGATACTACAGCTCAGACTCGTTCGGTCTGGCCATAGACCACTTTGAGGCAGCGGTGGAAGAGTACTTCAGCGCAGACCAGGAGTGCCGGGCGCTCTGCGAAGGAGCTTACGACTACGACGGATACAACTACATGGAGTACAGCGCTGACCTCTTCCAGTCCATGACAGGTGTTAAGACAGACTAAATCCCAAAACAACCCCACGGTAACATTTTGGATAAAAGCTTAAACATTGTACTCCTGTGTTTGCCCTGTCACTGTCAGACCACTACATGCAGATTCTGAACTGTAAGCAGAGCTGTTCTGTGGAGCTAGCCTCCACCGTGGGGAAGGACAAGCCATTTGAGGATTTCCTCCCTTCCCACTTCAACTACCTACAGTTCTCCTACTACAACAGTGAGTCTGAGTCCTTATTCACTCTGCACCTACATGCCTTTTTAGAATCAGGATGATCTGCTTTCACATAAATCAGTGTGTCCTCTGCCTGGCTGTCTGCTCGTCTGTTTGTTTGATGGCTCTAATTTTCTCCCCCCCCAACCCCCCCATTAGGTGAGAAGTATGAGCATGCCATAGAGTGTGCTAAGACCTACCTGCTGTTCCACCCAGAAGAAGAGGTAATGAATCAGAACCTGGCTTACTACTCCGCTGTGCTGGGGGAGGAAAAGGCTGCAGCCATATCCGCAAGACAGGTACACACACACACACACACACACACACACACACACACACACACACACACACACACACACGCACACACGCACGCCTGCACCTTCCTACCTATCCCTCATCTCCATCTCTCCTCGCTCCCAGGTGGTGAAACAGCACATTCAGCAGTCCCTGTTGGAGAAGGAGCTGCTCTACTTTGCTTTTGAAGTGTTTGGAATCACTTTTGTTGATCCAGTAGGTTAACATGTCTCTTATCTTCTCTTGTGTCTCACTGTTTCTACCGGCAAGACATTATCACCCTGATAGAGGACCGCTGTCAGGTGGGTTTTAGCATGTGTGATCTCACATCCTGCCCCTTCCTTTGCAGGATTCCTGGACCCCTGCAGACGTCATGCCCCTCAAACTGAGAGAGAAGCAGAAGTAAGAGAAACACACGTACAGACTAGAAGAGGCTGCTGGAGGGAGACATTGGAAGAATGTCTCATTTTAATGGCTGGAATGGAAAGTTATCAAACATGCTGTTCCATTCAAGTCATTACAATTATCCCGTCCTCCAATTTAAAGTGACACCAGCCTCCACTGGTACTTACATGCTCTCAATATCAGACTAGGATCTGCTCCACAATGTTTTAACCTTGTAACCTATTCTTTGGCGCCCTCTGCAGGGCAGACAGGGAGACTGCGGCGAGGATCACTGAGGAGATTGGGAATCTGATGAAGGAGATTGAAACTCTGGTGGAGGAGAAGAACAAGGAGTCGACAGATATTGCCAAGATCGTACGAGAAGGTATGATTTTCTGATAGCATTCCTTGTCCAAAGGTTTTTGGAGGGTCACAGCATGAAGTTTGGGAGTGTCAGTGGACTGTCTAGCACACTCTGACTGTGCACTGGCACTCTCTATATTCATTCCCCCTGTCTCCCTCCCAGGTGGTCCTCTGTTGTTTGATGACATCAAGATTACCATGTCGTCTAAGCAGCTGAATGGTTCTCAGAGGGTTCTACTGGATGGATTTATCTCGGAGGACGAGTGCAGAGAGCTCACCCGCCTTTCTAATGTAAGTGGGAGCCAGGGTCAGGGCTAGTTAGTCTGTCTGTGTGTTTATTGTGTGTGTGTGTGTGTGTGTGTGTGTGTGTGTGTGTGTGTTTGCCAGTGTGTATGTTGACTGTGTGTTGATGGAGTGTGTGCTTCTGATGGTCTGTGTGTTAAAACTGTGTGCATGCTTCTGTCATTGTGTTTGTTGATGCTGTGTGTGTGTGTTTGTCTGTCAGGCGGCTGCACTGAAAGGTGATGGGTACCGAGGCCTTCCCTCCCCACACTCCCCCAGCGAGAGCTTCCAAGGAGTCACAGTCCTCAAGGCTATTAAGGTACATCACTGACCCTACACACTACAGCCCTGATAACCCGAACACCACCAGCCCAGCACTGCCAACCCTAACCCAGCACGGTCAATTTCACCCAAACCCAACCCCCAACTAGTTTCATCCCCTAGTCTCAACTTTATCTCCAACCTATCTAAAGCCTCAGCCTAATGGCATCCATGTTCAGTTACCAGTGAGTTATCTATAAGAAAGCACCCATTTCTGATGATCTTGTCCTGTTCTACAGTTTGGACAGGAGGGCACTGTGCCCCTGAAGAGTGCCCGTCTGTTTTTCGACATGAGTGAGAAGGTGCGTAGGGTCCTTGAGTCGTACTTCCGTCTGGACTCTCCTCTCTACTTCTCCTACTCCCACCTGGTCTGCCGCTCCGCCATCGACGGTGAGAAACTCCACTACGGTGGCCCTCAGGGGACAGTATTGTTGTGTATATCAAATCCAAGATGTGGCACTTAACTCCACATTAACCACCTGCCTGTCCGAGTATATAGACAAACTGTAAGTTATGTTTCCATTCCTCTGTCTGTACAGAGAAGCAGGCTGACCGTGACGACCTGAGTCACCCGGTTCATGCAGACAACTGCCTTCTGGTCTCTGAGCTCAACGAGTGCATCAAAGAACCACCCGCATACACACACAGAGACTACAGGTACACACACACACGCACGCACACACACGCGCAGGCAGGCAGGCAAACACACCTTGCATATGCTTATAACATAGGTATCAGCAAACATCTATTGCACTGGATCCTGGACTTCCTGACGGGCCGCCCCCAGGTGGTAAGGGTATGTAACAACACATCTGCCACACTGATACTGACCTCCTCCCTATAGGCTGTCTCATCGTTGTCGGTGATCAGGCCTACCACTGTTGTGTCGTCGGCAAACTTAATGATGGTGTTGGAGTCGTGCCTGGCCATGCAGTCATGGGTGAACAAGGAGTACAAGAGGGGACTGAGCACGCACCCCTGAGGGGCCCCTAGTGTTGTTACCTACCCTTACCACCTGGGGGCGGCCCGTCAGGAAGTCCAGGATCCAGTTGCAGAGGGAGGTGTTTAGTCCCAGGGTCCTTAGCTTAGTGATGAGCTTTGAGGGCACTATGGTGTTGTAGTCAATGAATAGCATTCTCACGTAGGTGTTCCTCTTGTCCAGGTGGGAAAGGGCAGTGTGGAGTGCAATAAAGATTGCATCATCTGTGGATCTGTTGGGGCGGTATGCAAATTGGAGTGGGTCTAGGGTTTCTGGGATAATGGTGTTGATGTGAGCCATGACCAGCCTTTCAAAGCACTTCATGGCTACAGACGTGAGTGCTACGGGTCGGTAGTCATTTAGGCAGGTTATCTTAGAGTCCTTGGGCACAGGGACTATGGTGGTCTGCTTGAAACATGTTGGTATTACAGACTCAGTCAGGGACATGTTGAAAATGTCAGTGAAGACACTTGCCAGTTGGTCAGCGCATGCTCAGATGTCCTGGAAATCCGTCTGGCCCTGTGGCCTTGTGAATGTTGACCTGCTTAAAAGTCTTACTCACATCGGCTACGGAGAGCGTGATCACATAGTCATCCGGAACAGCTGATGCTCTCATGCATGCTTCAGTGTTGCTTGCCTCGAAGCGAGCATATAAGTGATTTAGCTCGTCTGGTAGGCTTGTGTCACTGGGCAGCTCGCGGCTGTGCTTCCCTTTGTAGTCTGTAATAGTTTTCAAGCCCTGCCACATCCGATGAGCGTCAGAGCCGGTGTAGTACGATTCAATCTTAGTCCTGTATTGACTCTTTGCCTGTTTGATGGTTCGTCTGAGGGCATAGCGGGATTTCTTATAAGCGTCCGGGTTAGAGTCCCGCTCCTTGAAAGCGGCAGCTCTACCCTTTATCTCAGTGCGGATGTTGTCTGTAATCCATGGCTTCTGGTTGGGGTATGTACGTACAGTCACTGTGGGGACGACGTCATCGATGCACTTATTGATGAAGCCAGTGACTGATGTGATGTACTACTCAATGCTATCGGAAGAATCCCGGAACATATTCCAGTCTGTGCTAGAAAAACAGTCGTATAGCTTTTTATTAACCGAGTCACTGATGCTTCCTGCTTTAGTTTTTGCTTGTGGTGCCAGGATAACAACCTCTCCCTCAACATGATCAAGACAAAGGAGATGATTGTGGACTACAGGAAAAAAAAAGAGGACTGAGTACGCCCCCATTCCCATCGACGGGGCTGTAGTGGAACAGGTTGAGAGCTTCAAGTTCCTTGGTGTCCTCCAACAAACTATCATGGTCCAAACACACCAAGACAGTCGTGAAGAGGGCACGACAAAGCCTATTCCCCCTCAGGAGACTGAAAAGATATGGCACGGGTCCTCAGATCCTCAAAAAGTTCTACAGCTGCACCATCGAGAGCATCCTGACTGGTTGCATCACCGCCTGGTATGGCAACTGCTCGGCCTCCGACCGCAAGGCACTAAAGAGGGTAGTGCATACGGCCCAGTACATCACTGGGACAAGCTTCCTGTCAGAGGAAGGCCCTAAAAATGGTCAAAGACTCCAGCCACCCTAGTCATAGACTGTTCTCTCTGCTACCGCATGGCAAGCGGCACCGGAGCGCCAAAGTCTAGGTCCAAAAGGCTTCTTAACAGCTTCTACCCCCAAGCCATAAGACTCCTGAACAGCTAATCATGGCTACCCACACTATTTGCACTACCCCCCCCCCTTTTACGCTGCTGCTACTCTGTTTATTATTTATGCATAGTCACTTTAACTCTACCCACATGTACATATTACCTCAATTACCTCGACTAGCCGGTGCCCCCGCACATTGACTCTGTACCGGTACCCCACTGTATATAGCCTCCCTACTGTTATTTTATTTTACTGCTGCTCTTTAGTTATTTGCTTTTATTTTTTACCTATCTATTTTTTACTTAACACTTTTTAGAATTATTTTTAATTTTCTTTTAAAAAACTGCATTTTTGGTAAAGGGCTTGTAAGTAAGCATTTCACTGTAATGTTTACACCTGTTGTATTCGGCGCATGTGGCAAATAAAATTAGATTTGATTTGACTTGCAAGTATCATCATGCACCACTGTCTTTAAGACCCTTCTCTTGTTCCTGTTGTGTTTTAGCGCCATCCTCTATCTGAATGATGACTTTGAAGGAGGTGATTTCATTTTCACTGAACTGGATGCCAAAACTGTCACAGTAAGTGTCAATAAATGATAAAGGTTGGAGGGATGCAGAGTATAAACAGTTGTTTCTCCTTAATTTACTCTAAGGTATAAGTTAATTGAGCGTATGATGACTGATGTCACTTCCCTGTGTTGCCCAGGCGGAGGTGCGTCCTCAGTGTGGTCGTATGGTTGGGTTTGGGGCAGGGAAGGAGAATCCTCACGGGGTGAGAGCGGTCACTAAGGGCCAGAGGTGTGCTGTGGCCCTGTGGTTCACCCTTGACCCCAAACACGAGGAGAAGGTAACACATATCAATCAATCAATCCATCTGGAGTTATGTATAGTCTTTGTTTCTATCATGCTATATATTGTGATGGGTTGTTTTGTAATCTGAGGGAGGGCGGGAGCAATGTTAATCTACATTTCATCAGTTTCTCTTGCTTCAGTCTTAGCTAATTTGTTTGTGTGTATGTGTGTCTCCAGGAGCGGATCCAAGCTCAAGAGATGCTGAAGATGTTCTCTACTCCTACGGACGCAGAGTTCACAGAGACAAAGACAGAGACCTCAGAGCCACAGCTCACACTTCCTGACCAGGCTGCGCTTCTTGGTCAAGCTGCACCCCCAGTACAGGAGCAGGCAGACAAACCAGATTACACACCAGCAGAGAAGAAGCCTGAGGAACCAGCAGAAACAGTAATTGAAAACCCAGCTGATAAACCAGAAGATAAAAAGGATGAGAAGCTGACAGAGAATCAGGCAGAAAAACACATTGCCAAAGAGGGTGAAAAACCTAAGTTGAAAGAGGCAGTCAAAATGAAAGCCAAAGCAGTGGATGCATCAAAGGCTAAAGCGACGACTAAAACAGCAGCTAAAGAAGGGGACAAAGCCAAGGCTAAAACAGCAGACAAGGCCAAACTAAAACCTGCAGCAAAAACAAACGTCAAACAGGCAGCAGGCAAAACGAAACCCAAAGCGACAGACAAAAAAGAGCAGAAGCCAGCTACAAAGAAGACAGAGAAAGCCCCTGTCAAAAAGGTTTCAAAGGACTCTAAAACTGACCCCAAATCAGCCTCGGACTCACAGACAGACAAGGATGAGCTGTGAGACCAACAGCACCTGTGACTTACTCTGTGGTGTCTCTTTTTCTACTGTTTGAATATATTTGTTAAGGTTTTCTCTGTGGGTGTGCTGGATAAAGATATTAAGTTGTTGATGGATATTGTTTTGGATGTTGTTTGTCTGCCCAATAGCGGTGGTAAACGAACCAGGATAAGGTGTTGTAATGTAAGCCATACCATAATACCAAGGGTCTGCAAATTCACTCTGATTGGCTGATATCAACTAACCAATCAATGAATCAATCAAATCAATGAATCAACCAATCAAATTGGATTTGTATAGCGCATTTCACAAATACATTTGTCACAAAGTGCTAAATAGTAACCACATTTAAATTCCTATCCGAGACTCATGTGAATAGATACTGTTGTTTTTATAGTGTTACTTTTGTGTATGATTTCGAATTCTCTGTGCTATTTTGTACTGATTTTAAATGAACTGTTCTTTGCCTCAGGAATGGAAAGATATAATCTCCCAACAAAAAGAGAGAAAAACCCCCAGGAAAGAACAACCATGAACAAATTAACTGTGTCTGAGTAGAGACTGAAACCTGGATTCATGTGGATACATTAAATAAAAGTGCTGTTTTTATACTGAAAAAAAAATATAAACGCAACATGTAAAGTGTTGGTCCCATGTTTCATGAGCTTTCTCTCAAATTTTGTGCACAAATTTGTTTACATCCCTGTTAGTGAGCATTTCTCCTTTGCCAAGAAAACAAGAGTGGCATATCAAGAAGCTGATTAAACAGCATGATCATTACACAGGTGCACCTTGTGCTGGGGACAATAAAAGGCCACTCTAAAATGTGCAGTTTTGTCACACAACACAATGTCACAGATGTCTCAAGTTTTGAGGGAGCATGCAATTCGCATGCTGACTGAAGGAATGTTCATTTGTTCATTTTTCTACCATAAGCTGCCTCCAACGTCGTTTTAGAGAATTTGGCAGTACATCCAACCGGCCTCACAACCGCAGACCACGTGTAACCACGCCAGCCCAGGACCTCCAAATCCGGCTTCTTCACCTGCGGGATCGTCTGAGGAGGGGGAGGGGTGATGCTGAGGAGTATTTCTGTCTGTAATAATGCCCTTTTGTGGCGAAAAACTCATTCTGATTGGCTGGGTCTGGCTCCCCAGTGGGTGGATCTTGCTCCCAAGTGGGTGGGCCTATGCCATCCTAGGCCCACCCATGGCTGTGCCCCTGCCCAGTCGTGTGAAATCCATAGATTAGGGCCTAAGTAATTTTTTTTAATTGACTGATTTCATTCTATGAACTGTAACTCAGTAAAATCGTTGAAATTGTTGCATGTTGCGTTTGGTGTTGCATTTTCATATAATAACTCAAGAGAACACTAGGTGGCAGACAGGAACTACCATGCCATCTCATGTACATCAGACAATACACATCGTATGTACCCATTTTTCTTCCTACTGAATATGTTGTAAGTATGGACCCTCAGGGTTGAACTTCATCCTTAGGGTCTAGCAAATCCTTAAAGCCTTAAATCATAGTTATGTTTTTGTTATGGTTTTGTGGAGGTAATTTGAACTCCCAGGAGACCAAGATAAGTTGTATGAAAGCCTGTTCAGACTATTGAGATGGCTCCTGGCCAACATGTCTGTTGTTGATCTCTGGTTAGTTAGCTACAGTATCTCCTCAGGGGACTCTTCTCTTAGGATCCTGTTTATATCAGAATGCTGCTCCACCCTACGACCACTTTCTTAGTTTTAAATAGTTGAGCTGTATCAGGTCTTGATAAGGTCTTTGGGAATGTGAGATGAGCTGCTGAGTTTCCCTACAGAATTAGAATGAGCAGAATGGACATTCCAATTCAAAGCAAATTTCCATGGTGTTGGCGGTCTGGCGGCCATACTGGTTGTGAATAGTTTGGAATTGATCAATTAATGGTTATCTTCATAGAAGTTAATGGAGATACCAGAACAGTCATGGATGTTCCGTGGACATAACAGCAGAACAACCATATCCAGGGTTCCTTGTCAAGACAACAGCAAGTAATATTGACATGTCTGTTGGCCATATTGGTTGTGCCTTGAAAGGTCATATAGATTTGAGTTTGTCCATTCTGGTCATTGTGTTTCTATGGTTTCCCCAGCCCTGAGCCTGTGGGTGGAACAGTAATAATGCTGGGTCCTGTGCCGGAGCGTCTGTGTGGGTTTAGCATATGGATGAAGTCATGACTGCACGGAATAGAGCAGCTATCTACACACACATGCACACACACACACACACACACACACACACACACACACACACACACACACACACACACACACACACACACACAAAGACTGTGCATGTACTGAAACAGGTCAAACATCCCAGTTATTCAGCAGCGCGGAAGAGGATGCATTTGTCAGTCCTATTGCTGCCCTGCACATGTGGAGATTGGTGTGTGTGTATGTGTGTATGTGTATGTGTGTGTGTATGCGTGTAGACTTGTGGCTAGTCATTTTGAGATCTTCATCATCTCCCTAAAGGAAAGCCTTGGGGCTGTTGAGGGTGATTTGGGTGGCTTCAATGAAGGTCTTCAAGTAGCTGTGCTGGATGTGAACTGGCCCTCTTCCCCTACTGCCTGGGTGGTGGCCTCCTGTGAGTGAGTGAGTGAGTGAGTGAGAGACAGAGTGAGAGAGAGAGTTTGACTGTGTGTGTCTTTGTCTCTGTATCTCTCTCTGTGCTTTCTTTGTGTTTCTCTGTGTTCTGGGTTCTGATCCAGAGAGAGACACAGGCCACTTTGTCTCTCTGTCTGTTTGTGGAATATGTGTTTGACCATTGTTCCAAAGACCTGCAGAGAGAGAGAGAGAGAGAGGAGAGTGAGAGAAAGAGAGAAACAAGAGTACAGTAGACATAGAAGCAAAATCTGAGATTGGTACACAAGTCTCGCACAGTGCAGGCCTATGTTGGAGTTAGCTATCTCAAGTATCTCTATGTGTGTGTGTTCGTGTGTGACTGTATCCACCTCTGTGGATGTCAACCAGTGTGTTGTTGTGTGTACAGTATATGTGTGTTTGTGTGTGTGTGCATCGTTGTGTACCTGCATGTGTGTGTGTTGTGAAGTGCATTCTCCTTGCTCCAGGACAAGGCCACATATGAAAGACAAAAAAGGTTGAAAATTCCCCTTCCTGGTTTCCATGGAGACAGAGTGGGCATGGAGACGGCAGTGGCAGGATTGGGCCGCACACAGCGGGATGTGGTGCTGAGATTAACTACGACTTTCTGTGTGTGTGAGAACGAGACCCAAGTCTGAGACATAACAGTGTTAAAATTGGGCTGGACACAGCAGGAAGAGGCACTGAGATTAACTCCCACTCTCCTACTCTCTGAGTGTTTAAAAGTGGAGGCTAAAGTGGATGCTAAAGCAGCAGGCTAACATGGAGTGACATGGCCTCCTATGACTCCTCCTTTGGGAAGACAAGGGGACTGAAAGAAGACTTTCTGTTGTTGATGAGGGAGGCTGGGAGGACTAGTACTGGTTCTTGGTTTGTGTTCAAGAAGCATTGCAGTCACTACATTGCCCCAGGGTGTTTAAAGTGCAGTACTGCGCTCTATTTTATCTGTATTCTGTTTCACTCAACGGTTTCCTGTGTCCCCTCTAGCTGTGTGGCCCAAAATTCTGCCAATATCCACCAGTCCACCAAGAGAGAAGCACTGCCCTTCTACACACCACCCCAATCCAGAACACTGCCCTTCTACACACCACCCCAATCCAGAACACTGCCCCTCTACACACCACCCCAATCCAGAACACTGCCCCTCTACACACCACCCCAATCCAGAACAGGTACACTCCCTTAAGCTTCACACAGCATTTCGAGGACTGTTCTCAATCAGACATGAGCAGTTACAGTATGGTTGAGGACATTCCAGTCAGTCCAGATCTGCTGTAAGTAATTTCTAAAGCTGCCTGGCTGCCTGGTCTCATATCTAAAACCAACCTTGTGTTAGCGGGACAGAGTAGCTCATTGTTGGCTGCTTATTCGGATGGATGCCAGCTCGATGACTTCAGGCTTTGCCATGAACTGTCTCCTTATTCCCCTTACGACTGGGATCACGGCCGTGCCGGCTTCAGGATGGGACCAGTGGTATAGGCCTGGCTGCCTGGGGCTGTCTTACAGCTCTATGGAGCTGGGTTAGAAGGGGCTAGGAGTGGGCCTGGGGATGGAGAAACTGGGTCATAACGGGCTTTAGGACCTAGGTTGTAAGAGGCTGGGGCTGGGATCACACTGGTATGGCTGGGGCCTGGCTATAGAGGTCTATGGAGGGTCATAAGGGGCTGGGGCTAGGGAATGGGTTTACAGAGGTATGGCTTGGGGTTGTGGCTGGGCCTGGGGCTGTTGCTGGGATGGCTGGGGCCTGGCTGTAGAGCTCTATGGAGCTGCTTAGGGACATAAACGGTGGGGGCTGGGGATGAGGCTGGGGAAGGTACCAGGGCAGTATGGCTGTATGGAGGGGCCGGGGGGGATGGGGTTAGGGTTAGTATGGTTTAACTATTGTTCAAATATTGGTTCCCTATGGGGGAACTCTGTGTACTCTGTGAGACAGTGTCTAGTGCACTTGAGAAACAGGGTTGCATAGTGTTTGAAGGCCTTTGTGATATACTTCTGGTATTTTCTGGTGTCACCCTCCATCACCAAGCCTGGGGTATAGTGTAAAACAGTGTAGAACAGGGGAAAATACCCACAAGCCCCTGGAGAGCAACCAGGATTCTGGGAGCCTCTTTGTTTAACAGAAGATGTCACCACTGGTTGTTATGACAACAGCATGACGATGCCTGGCCCTCCGTCACAAAGCTAAAGAGACAGATGGCAGGTAAATGGCAGAGAGGAGAGAGAGGGAGAGGGGGAGGGAGAGAGAAATGTGTGAGAGATAGAAGAGAACATGTTAAGTATAGAAAGGGTTACTGCTTCTAAATGTAAACTCTGGAAATATTCATACAGTGCCTTCAGAAAGTATTCACATCCCTTGACGTTTTCCACATTTTGTTGCGTTACAGACTGAATTTAAAATGGATTAAATTGCAAATTTCTGTCACTGGCCTACACACAATACCCATTAATGTCAAAGTGGAATTATGTGTTTAGACATTTTTACAAATTCAGGAGAAAAAATTGCTTAACAAGGTATATAATACGGTGCATGGACTCACTGTGTGCAATAATAGTGTTTAACATGATTTTTGAATGACTACCTCATCTCTGTACCCCACACATACAATTATCTGTAAGGTCCCTCAGTCGAACAGTGAATTTCAAACACAGATTCAACCACAAAGACCAGGGAGGTTTTCCAATGCCTCACAAAGAAGGGCACATATTGGTAGATGGGTAAAAATTAAAAAAGCAGACATTGAATATCCTTTGAGCATGGTGAAGTTATTAATTACACTTAGGATGGTGTATCAATACACCCAGTCACTACAAAGATACAGGCGTCTTTCCTAACTCAGTTGCTGGAGAGGAAGGAAACCGCTCAGGGATTTCACCATGAGGCCAAAGCAGTTACAGAGTTTAATGGCTGTGATTGGAGAAAACTGAGGATGGATCAACAACATTGTAGTTACTACACCATACTAACCTAATTGACAGAGTGAAAAGAAGGAAGCCTG